TCATTGAAACGATACGGAATTTTCAGCCCACCTGTTACATATATAGGTGAAAAATTAAAGCTTCCGCCTTTTGTTGGGTACTTCGACAAAATTTAAGCAAAGAGGACTCTTTATACTTTTTTTAATTCTCTCTAGCTTTCAATGGACTTTGCCATCATCATCAGGAGCAGCAATTACAATGATAACAGTAGCAACAAAAGTGTAAAATGAATTTAAACTGAATCAACTTACAGTAGTATGTGAGGATGTTGCTAATTGTTGTTTTCGTATAGGATGAGGGAAACGTCCAGTAACATGGTGAGAGCTGGATACATGGTACAATCGTTAAAATTATATAAAATATGACAAGACAAGTTAAAGACAGATTCAAAATTATTTAGAAAACATTAGAGCATTACGTCGTGAAGCCACTTGACGATTGCACAAAATGGTGGTCATGGAATAATGAGTGAGATGAACCTTTGACAGAAGGCCGAAGGTTGTCAATGTCTGTGTTGAAAGATTGAACAAATTGTGGGCGTGTGCCAAAACGTTGCCAAATCACTTCAGATGATGTGATTTTTAGAATGTTATGTAAGAAATTGTTAAGCCGACCAGAGGCAGTTGATTAAACTATATTTTAATTAATGGGAATTTTAAATTAACAATTATTAATAAATCGTGAGAAGAGAATTATTAGATTTTGAGTGGAATGAAATTTGTTGGTGGAATCGGCCAAAACACGGATTATATTTATGGTTGTGAAAAGTCGAAATTTGGGGAGATATGTAAGTTCTCCAATTTTTCGCAGTTTAGCAAATATGAGTTATTCCATGACCACCATTTTGTGCAATCATCAAGTGGCTTCACGACGTAATGCTCTAATGTTTTCTAAATAATTTTTAATCTGTCTTTAACTTGTCTTGTCATATTTTATATAATTTTAACCATTGTACCATGTATCCAGCTCTCACCATGTTACTGGACGTTTCCCTCATCCTATACGAAAACAACAATTAGCAACATCCTCACATACTACTGTAAGTTGATTCAATTTAAATTCATTTTACACTTTTGTTGCTACTGTTATCATTGTAATTGCAGCTCCTGATGATGATGGCAAAGTCCATTGAAAGCTAGAGAGAATTAAAAAAAGTATAAAGAGTCCTCTTTGCTTAAATTTTGTCGAAGTACCCAACAAAAGGCGGAAGCTTTAATTTTTCACCTAACTGGTTTAGACGACAATGACCACGTCTCAAGTTATATATATATATATATATATATATATTTATATAACGTGAGCGGTAGTCATTGCCAAAGCAAAATATAATTACTTGTTAATTGGGAAAATTTTCAAAACTCTTAGGCTTAAGTTGACTCTTTTGACGATAAAATCAAGCTTTCGGCATTCTCTATGGAGCCTTCATCAGGATTCTAATTTCTTTGCTAGCATCACAATTGTGTTTTCAGAATCCTGATGGATTGATACTAAATTCAACATTTTATTTGATTTCTCAAATAAAATATGGTATGGAGATAACTTTAGAATTCCACTCCATTTTCGAAATCCCAATGATACAATGAGACGTATAGCTATAAATGCACATCAAATTGTGTGTACAACCATTCCAATTACCATTAGTCGAACTTCATACATGGAACACCTCACTACTGCTTATCCCTTAGAATATTTTGAAACAAAAGCTTTTCTTGCTACCCCTTCTGAACTTAAGCGACCCCAGATAGGATCTAATGATATCTCTAAATTAATTCGAACAGATCATCTTGATTCCGAAGAAAAACAACAACTTATTTCTCTTTGTAAAGAATTCAAGGATGTTTTCCTACTCCCTGGTCAACCTCTTTCTTTTTCAAACGATATTAAACATAAAATTCGTCTTTCTGATGACACTCCTATTCACACTCGCTCATACCGATTTCCACATATTCATAAACAAGAAGCACAGAACCAAGTCAAAAAAATGTTGACCGAAAATATAATCAGACCCTCTTCTAGCCCTTTTAGTAGCCCTATTTGGATAGTACCAAAAAGGATGGATGCTAGCGGTACTAAAAAATTCCGCTTAGTAATTGACTATAGGAATCTCAATAAAAAGACTATTGGTAATAGTTATCCTTTGCCTAACATTACAGATATTTTAGATAAACTTGGTCGTTGCAATTATTTTACAACCCTCGATTTAGCGCAAGGATTCCACCAGATCGAAATGGACCCTGATTCAATTGAGAAAACTGCTTTCACCGTAGAAAATGGTCATTATGAGTTTCTTAGAATGCCATTTGGACTTCGTAACGCCCCAGCAACTTTTCAAAATGTCATGGACAACGTGCTTGAAGGCCTTCAACACAAAATTTGTCTTGTTTATTTAGATGATGTCATCATATTTTCTACATCCCTTCGAGAACATATCCAGAACGTAAGACTCGCTTTTCAAGCATTTCGAAAACATTCATTAAAAGTTTCTCTTGATAAATCTGAGTTTTTAAAAAAAGGAAATAGCCTTTTTAGGACATATTATCACTAAAAAAGGTATAAAGCCCAATCCCGACAAGAAAGGCAAAACTAACCTAAACGCAGACGCACTATCTAGAATTAAAATTCCGTACGAAGAATTAAATGCTCTTGACGATGAATCTTCAATGATCAATAATCCTGATACAGAACCACAAGATGACCCTACAGACTTGCTTGAAAACCTTGACGACCTTCCAAGTCCAGATCCTCAAACACTAGAAGAAATAACTAGAAGTCTTTACGAAGCTACAGAGAATACATGTCACGCCGCAATCGAAAATCCGATTTGTGCCCCACCAATAACAGAAAAACCTGTTAATGCCTTTGATCGCCAAATCATTATTATAGAATCAAATACTCTTGCTGCACGATTCTTACCCTCTTTCGAGAAGTCTTTTGGAAAGACCCGACATACTTTAACTTTCCATTCAAGTATATCCGACGACGAAATTCTTCTACATCTCAAAGATTATATTAATACCACACAAAACCATTGCCTCTATTTCCACAGTGATCCAATAAAAGAAAAACTCTTAGAGTATTAAAAAATAAATTTAGCCCTCAAACTAAAGTTACAATATCAAACTTGTTTCTTACCGATTTATTCACAGATCATGAGAAATTAACTGAAATTAAATTCTGGCATGAAACAAAAACCACTCATCGTGGAATTAATGAAACAATTAAACGAGTTTCATCAGAATTCTATTGGCCTAATATGTCTAATGACATTAACCGTTATATTAACCTTTGCGATGTTTGCCAACGTGCAAAATACGACCGTAATCCACAACACATCAAATTACAACATACTCCTACACCAAATAAACCTTTAGATGTCCTACATATTGACTTATTCCACATTCAGTCAGAAATATACTTTACTATTTTTGACCCATTTTCTAAATATGGTCAAGCACTGAAGATTCCATCTAAGAATGCTATCGATGTTGTTCAAGCTCTAATTCAATTCACTTCCTATCTAGGAACGCCTTCTCAGATAATTGCTGATGCTGGAAAAGAATTCAATAATATCCTTCTAAAAGAGTATTGCCAATTATATGGTATAAAACTCCACATTACTTCTATTAGAAATTCTAACAGTAATAGTCCAGTAGAACGTTTCCATTCTGCTCTTCTTGATTCTCTTAGAACCTTAAAAATTGATCACCCTAATAAACCATTAAGTTACCTGATGACATTAGCTGTCTCATGTTACAATAATTCAATACATTCAGTAACAAAACTAATCCCTTTTAATATCATATTTGCTCAACTTGACAAGAACATTTCTCCCACATTACATGAAACAAGGATAACCCAAGATCATATCGATTCAACTAAAAACATTGCGAAACAATTATATCAAATTGTACAAAATCGTGTTGAATCTCGAAAGGAACAAGTACTTTCTAAAGTAAATAAGAAACTAGATGATCCTCAACCAACATCTTCAACAGAGTATCTTAATACGAGAACTTCCCGATGTCCTAAAGTTAAACCAATATTTAAACACGTTTCAATAAGAAAAGATAAAGGTCCAACAGTTGATACATCTGCTGGAACTTTTCATAAAAATAAAATAAAAAGGAAAAGACAACTAAAACCATCCTCATTGTGACAGGATGAAGACGACGATTCCGATACTCCTCTTTCTATTATCCAGAAGCGACTCACTTCAGATAAATCAAATCAACAGCCCTCTTCTTCCCATTCTGCTAAGACCAGTTAAAATAGTAACTCACCACCATTCCTTCGTACACGTTATTAATCTTCATAAAATCGAACAGCAACTCAATAAGCTATGTATATTCGAATTTGATAACAATTAAAGATAAGGCTAGGAATCAAGATGTATACGCTAAATGGTTGCAACCAGAATTTATATTAAAGAAAACGTATGATAAATTTAATACCTTTTACCTTAATAATAAAAGATCTAAACGAGGTTTAATTAACCCTATTGGTTCACTTTATAACTCTCTGTTTGGACTAATGGACGACAATGACAGACAAAAAATTAACACAAATTTAAAAGTTTTATATAGAAACCAACATTGTATTGTTTCCCAAATTGAAACCAAAACAACAATATTAAAGAATCTTGTAAATAATCTTAAAGATACCATTAAGGTCATAAATGCTAATAATAACGTACTATCACTGAACTTAGTGATATATTAGTACAGGAGTATGTTCAAGATATTATTAATAATGTAAATTTTCTTCAAAGTTATCTGTCTAGTATCGAAAATGCTTTATTATTTGCTCATTTAAACTTGGTTCAATCAAATATTATAACAACGAACGATATCAAAGAAATATTTGCAAAACTCAAACTATTATATAAGATGAGTCAAATTCCTATATTTCACATTCATTATTATTAAAGTCTCTTTAAAATTCAAACTTTTATTGAAAACTATAACTTACACATTGAAATATTAGTACCAATATTAAAAGGTAAAGCTTATTCCTTGTTCAGGGTAATCCCCTTGCCTTATAAAAACCTTACCATTCTACCCCCTTTACCCTACCTTATACTCGGTGAAGACGGACACACATGGATCAATAATGAATTACCACGCCTGGAACACACCTTCCTGTCAAACGATATATTGGACACCAGCAACCATTGCATCATCGACATCATCCGTCGACGACCCAATGTAACTTGTCACGCCGTACCAGCACACCAGACCAAAACTACTGTTCAGACCCTGCCCAATGGTCAGATTCTGATAATTGTTACAATACCAGTGGAGGCGAGAGAAAAATGCTCGAACCTCGAAGTTAAGGTGTAACATGACATATCCATCATAACACCTAAGCCCAATTGCATCCTTTGGATCAACGAGGAACAATTTTACATGACTTCAGTGGTTCTACCCGACTCCGTCACCTACCTTCTACCAGAGCCACTAATGGAATCAAGCCGTTCTTCAGTATAGCTGGACAACGTTCCGACAACCAAGTTAGAAGAAGTTCACCAGCAGCTACGCAACATCAAGCACATCGCTCTACAAGCACCAGACCTGGATTCAACGAGCCATTCCTGGATCACACTGTGTATTGTTCTCATCATGATTTTAATCTTTATGTTACTACGTCTCCGATATCTCTACGTACGCAGCAAAGGAAATCAGGTAAAGATCGAACTTTCAACCCACAAGGACCCGATTCCGCCTATGCCATCATCTAGGACGGGAGGAGTTATATGAACCAACTACATAACTGCTCTTTTATTTTTTATGTATCATCTGCTTTCATAATGTAACTTAACGTTATATAAATCAGGTTATCTATTGCACTAAAGAAAATACTGAGCTTAGCATATTTTTTAATTATAAATACGCTGTATGCATTTGATGATTCACTTGATATTCATATGTCATGAATGTTAGTCAATAAAGAGTGTTGGAAGCTGACTTCGTGTATTCCTGCGGAACCAAAGGGACTCCCACAAACGACACTATATATATATATATATATATATATATATATATATATATATATATATAGGTGAAAAATTAAAGCTTCCGCCTTTTGTTGGGTTCTTCGACAAAATTTAAGCAAAGAGGACTCTTTATACTTTTTATAATTCTCTCTAGCTTTCAATGGACTTTGCCATCATCATCAGGATCTGCAATTACAATGATAACAGTAGCAACAAAAGTGTAAAATGAATTTAAATTGACTTAACTTACAGTAGTATGTGAGGATGTTGCTAATTGTTGTTTACGTATAGGATGAGGGAAACGTCCAGTAACATGGTGAGAGCTGGATAGATTGTAC